AACATTTATTGTCAACGGTCCTTGCGCTGGCAAACTACTCAAGCTGTATGCGAGTACAGTGTTAGCAGGCCTATGAGAACGTCAGACATAATGTACATGTACAGTACACGTAGTTTGTGCCTCCACGCACGTGTACAGGAGGCGGCGATCATGCCGATGGTGATAAGGACGAACCTTACTCAGAATTATGAGTCTTGGCCTACTCTCACTCCATGCAGGCGATAATGTGGTCCAAGCCACATAAACATGTACAGTCATATATGCGTGTGTGGGTTCTATTCTAATACAAACCTGATTAAGTCTGTATTACACGACCCCACAACAACAACGTCTAGTGCTGTTTCCTCCTCCTCCAGAGCTGCCATTGCATAGTGCGCGTGCGGAGTCTAAGGACACTTGCGTAATACACTTACGGATCGCGCGCACACGTACAGCTACAGGTGGATCAGCTGATGTATAGCGCCCCCAGCTACACTGTGCTGTAGTTGATTATTAACACGTGGACTCGGAACTCTGCGTTCCAAGTTCGTCCCCAGGCCTTATCTCTACAAAACGCGACGGTCGTCAACGATTGATTTGACTGTTGTGTGACATTGTCCCGTTGCAAGTATGGGATAAATTTAGCAACCCGGATATGGATAATTATCATCGTCACCACTGTCATCTGTATTCTTCAAATTCAAATTTCCTAAATACACTGGCCAACTGTGAACTGGCGTAAAAAGAGTCAGACACTCATCAGATTTTGGTATCAGACAGTATAACATTAATTTGACTTGATTACGCTGTTGAACCTACAATGCCGCAGTTTCGATCTTACGTTCACTGAAGTATTGCACGGCGAAACAGAACTGCAATTAAAATGCCTGACGATAGTGTAAAAGTTGCAGTGAGGGTGCGGCCATTTAACCAGGTATGTAAATCAGTAGTAGGGGTAGATACCCCTACCACTAGACTGAGCTGCGTGTACAGCTGTGGCCAGTGGGGTACAGTCAGTCAGTCGTACCATACGGACGAGTTCAACTAACGGTTACGCCAAATCTGGCAGGCATGGTACTGCATTTTGTAGAGTTGCTCACTTGTGGCATCATGCTTAACAAAATTAGGGAAGAATTTTATCATGACATGATATCCCCCTCCTGACAGTATGGTAACATGAGACGTACTGTTGGCCCTGTGCCCTGAAGTCAGCAAGGAGAACATTGATGTAGCCCATAAGTAATCATTTAGAATTGTGCAGACCAGTCTCGGTCATTGTCTTGGTTGGAGTTTAATTGCACTCACGTCTGGGCAAGGGGGCAATTACATGTACTTTGTACTGTTTGTACTTTGTATTTGTGCATTATCCTAATTTTTTGCTGCAACATAAAAATAACTGGAACCTTTTCGGGATAGTGTGGCAGATATACCTTTACATGATAGCACATTAACAGTGAAATGTGAGGTATACTGATATTTGATGTAAAAGTTAAGAGTTTAGTCAATAATTCAAGGGACAACAACCCTGTTTTTGCCCCCTTCAGTCCCGAGTGTGAAATACATGTTGGAAATGCCACCAACTGACCAATCAGAGAGAACCAAGACTCTGATGACGTCATCCCGACCATGAGAATTGTGTAAAAGCAGTCAGATGTCTATGGGTGCAGACCACTAATTCAAGTGAGAATTTCTGGCCAGTTCATTAGCATTAATAGTGCCCCCCACAGTATCTTTTGAAAAAGGAGATTGTTTGGCCCCAAAAATGGTGAGATTGTGTAATTCGTTGCCAGGATCAACTCCCTGGGTCTTTGAGCTTTGATATGAGAGCAGAATGCCAAAAACTACGGTTGAAAAATGGTCCTAAGTGCCCAAGAAAGCCGGGGTTGCCCCGTGAAATATGGCTGCAGTCAGACTTAGGAAAAATCACTTTCTGAGAGATGATTTTGTTTTGTGGGAATAAATAATTAAAATTGTAATTGGTTAACCTACAAAAAAATCAAAAGAAATTGAAAGATTAGTGACCAGACAAGAATTTCACTTGTGTTTCAGAAATCTCAGAGATGTTGGTGTGCATGTTATTGGGCCCTGAACAGAGCTGATTTTACACTGTTTTCAATGGGGCTTGAATTAGTGGACTTTACCCCTATGTACTGTATGGAGCCATTTTCCGCTCCTCAGGATTTACTCGACCAACATTTTTTGCACTTACTCATTTCACAATTAGAAGAAAATGGTTCCCTAACCTTTCCTTGTAGTCCAGTGCCACTGTTGTGGCATTTTTGTACCATCCCTCGTAGAAATCTAGATGCAAAATCTTATTTTCTGTCTATTTAATATACATTTTTATGCTATTTCCTCCCAGAAAATAGAAAGAAAATATATTTTTTCCTATTACTTAAGCTACATGGACTGTTCTGTCCTATTCTAATCCTATTTTGGATGCTGCAATCCTATTTTATTGCTATTTTGAAATGGTACACTATTTTAAATCTATTTTTTTGTACTCGGGTAATTTTCTTAACTATTTTTCAACTGTTTTCTGGGGCTTAAACATTTCTGTAGGATTGGAAAGCTATTTTGGGGCTATTTTTTTGTCCTCACTGAAAGTGGTCTAAAATTGAAGCTTTACTCGTATTTTTCGGCTATTTTTTTAGGGTCAGGGTATGTTACCTCAAAAAGTGGCTTCATGCAGTGGACAAGCTGCCCACTACATACATGGGCCCTGTATGCCCCCAGGTGACCTTGCAAACTTCCGTTGTGGCATATTTGAATTCAGTCAGTTTGGCAGAAGTGGTAGAACAGCATACAACAAGGAAGATGTGGATCACAATTCAACAAAAGTGTGTTTCAAAATCCTGACAGAGTTTTTTTTGGACATACATAGTTCACTGTACTTGCTGTATATGTGCATTCTACAGCATGATGGAATAACTGGGAACTTCATGCATGTTTGGCTCAATGTCACGAATGCGAGTACGTTCCCATTCATGCCTAGCTTGTTCAAGTTGTTATACCGGTATGCATGGTTTGCACCTGTGACTATACATTTACATGCAGATTGTATGCTGTGCAGTCCTAAAGGTTATATGTGTACCGGTACATTTGAAATTGGATCATTTGATCCAACCTGTTCCAGTCGGCATGTACTCCCAAAACAGCTTTATTGTAATTCCCAAAGATGAAAAGCTTTTACTAAATTTTGAACACGTTCACATTAACATTGATTAACGTTTCAACTTACCGTACAGTACATGACTTACACATGACTTATGTGCTTATTTAGGCTTTTGACTTAATATTTTTTAGTTTACATGCAGTAATCTATAATCTTCTCCATATGCAATTTGCACCTACCCTGTCCATGCATGTACTGTCCTGTTACTTGTTATAATTTCCACAATTTCACATGTACGCAAAGCGTATACATGTACATGTTTTGTACATGGTGTAAGGATCTGAACATTGCAAGGGCTTCACAACTGAAGCAACAGCTTATTGAAGTTGAAATTACATGTACATGTACCTGCAAGTTTTTCTGTAAGGCTACTAAGTTTGAGGCATTATTTATATTTACATCAAGGTATGATATTAAAAATCAAAGTGAGCCTAATACATGTAAATTTTGTAAGGCCTGAATAGTGTACATGCACCCCTTGCTCTATGATGCACCAGAGCACTACATGTAATTGACTCTTGCAACGTCACAAAAGACTGACTTATAAATGGATGATAAGCTCAAATTCCCTCAAAATCAGTTCATAATCTTGGTACAGTGTACATGTGCATGTGTTGTGTGCATACATTTAAAGAGGGATCTTAAAAGTGACATTTCAGGTAATGAAAGCACCGGAGCATTACGTCCTATTTTTAAAAACTAGCATGCTATTTTTAAAAATAGCTTTCTGTATTTAAAAAACCAGCATCCTATTTTTAAAGAAATCATCCTATTTTAAAAACAGCAAGTAGGATTCTATTTTTCTGAAAAAGCATTTGTATTTTCCCCTATTGAGTTATTAATGGGCCGGGCCCATTAATAGTGTTGTAGCCGAGTACTTTTTTCCGAGTACCAAGTACTGCCGAGTACAAAGACAGGGCGAGTACTTTGCCAGCCAAGTACAAGGACTGGTTTCCGAGTACAAGTACTTGCACTTCTGAGTACAAGTACAAGTACTTCTAATTCAAAAGTAGTTTTATCTTAAATTAGAGACTCTAAGACCTGCCACTGTGTAAAAGAAACACTGAAAGCAGATGACATGGCTACAAGAACAAGTGATCTGGCTAGCAATGTCATGGTCACTACATGTGCGTTGCAGCAGTTGACACAACGTGCACGGTGAAGTCTATTTTCCAGACTCTATTATTCACATACCTGTAATTTTCTGTATGCTGGGTTCGTTGTTAAAATTTTCGGGTCCAGGAACCAGACTACCAATGCCCAAGCAAATTGCGGGACCATTCTGAAGTACAGCAATATAATTTGCATACGTGATTGGTTAAGTAAGCGCACAGACGACGAATGGGTCGTATACGTTAGTGGTCCCACGTTCGGCCGTCTCTTTGTTAGAACCGTATCGAATATCGGATCATAGGAGGTGATATTTTTGTACCTTATTTCAACGGCCGTGGTAAGTTAACTGAAAGGATTTTTTTATCGAGTACTGTTAATCGAATACGAGTACTTTGATGCTCGAGTACAATTTTTGGATGTCGAGTTCTGAGTATTTTGTAGCCCGAGTACAAGAGCTGTAGTTTGAGTACAAGTACTTGGACGTCCGAGTACAAGTACGAGTACTCTGGAAATGGTACTCAAGTAGTACTTGAGTAAGAGTACCGAGTACGAGTACTACAACACTGTTAATGGCCCCTGTGAAAATGTATACTATGAAATTAAGAAAATATCAAAATGTGCCATTGTTATTAAATTCTTCCATTTGTAGTTCAACAATATGGTTGGTTTCTTTAAAATAAAACATTTGATAAAAAATTAGAATATGTTCTTTTTCTTGCATTGAGTCGCTTCAAACATGAACCTACATGTATTTTATCCCTATTTTTTGAAAAGTCCAACAAGAAACCTATTTTATCCCTATTTTTTGAAAAAAAATTAAAATTAGTTTCCTTATTTGAAAAAATTAGTGTAGAAACATTTTCTATCACTATTTTATTGCTATTTTTATAAAGCTATTTTTTCCCTGACTATTTTTTTTTTCTATTTTCTAGGGTGGAGAAATCCCAAAAAAAAAAATATGTTCTAAAAAAATGTAGTTTACATAGGAAAACAATATATTTTTTTCTTTTTTTTTGACCTGGGATGGATCACTGGGTCGTACCTGTACATGTTACGTAGACCTATAGATCTAATTCCCCAAAAATTCATTTCATTGCTGCACTGTTTCTTTCTGAATTTCACTTCAGTTAATTGTCGAATTAAACAGTTCAATTATAAAACCCTGAAAAGCTTCTTTTCTCATTTATATAATTAAATTAAGTCAGTTGAGCATATCTGCCACCCTCAGGCCTTGGGAAACAGGACTCTCTGAAGGATAGATCCAGGATTTTCAGAAAGGGGGGTGCAAACTTGGATGGTCAAGTGTGAACATGCATTGCGAAGCATGTCACATGCAGGGGAGCAAATAGTACAGGCTGTCGGGGGAAAGGAACCAGAGCTGTGAGTGCAGTGCCAACTGCAAACTTTGGAATCAAAATGGCTGTTCATTATGTGTGCTGTACAGCATGTAGTTATTGTGTGATGGTTGTCTTTGTGCACTGGTGCATAGCCCACCAATTTGGTTCAAACAGTCAAGACGCTCCAGGGCAACTCTCTCTATGTGATCCCCCTCCATCCACCATTGACTCCTGTATTCACTCACAGTCCATTGGGACACATACATGTATTTCCATTGCCAATCGATATGTAATAAAAAGAGATCAAAA